TGATGAATTCGGTACATAAACCTGTACAGAGGATACGTCTGTTTATATTTTTCACCGACAACTACTCCACGGAGTCGGTTATTTAATTCATTCGCTTTTCCTTCAATCTCCTTATTAGAGATATTCCTTCTTTGATACTTTCCCTGCATTGTTCCACTTTATGGAGAACAAGACTAATTCCAATATATCAACGGGCTCTAATTGAGCATGAAGTTCGCATATCTTCTATGGCAATTGCAATTGAAGAGCTTTGAGCAAGAAGTTAATTTTTTTGTTACCTTGTTAACTATGGTACGAAGAATTATTTTTGGTACCGCTGAGTCCTTCGATAGTTCGGCTGGTTCGGTGTATTCACAAATCGCTATACATAGAGATGTGTTTTTCCATCAACGTATTGTGCTTATTGTTATGGTTAAAGTGAAGGTTATTAATGTTAGGTGTTATTATTTTCCTGCTACTTTTGTAAAAGCATCATTAAATTCATTGCCAAAGCTCTCGCTTTGATTTACAAATCAATCTTTGATACACATCTTTGACGCCATATGCTGGCCAATCTGTAGTGTCAAATAAAAGTTAAATTGAAAGCAAGCAGCATAAAACTTTGTCGAATATAAGAATTTTAGTAGCGACACAGTTTTACGTTGAAGGATTTGATGTTAAAAGTGTCGATATAACGATATTGTACACTTGTAAGTCAACTGCTATGCTACGGGGGCATTTTCTCCTTGAGAAATTTTTTCAAATTTTTTCGCCCAACTCAAAAAAAGTTATGAATTTTTGAAAATAATTGCTTTTTTTTTTTAAAATAACCATAACCTTTTCAAAAATTGAGTTATTGGGACGTTTTTTTTCAAAATTTTTGTTTTTGAAAGTACTTTTTGAAAAAAAAAGATCAAAATTATCTTAACCCATCTCACTATTTCTTTTTCAATTTTCGAAAAAAAAACGATGATCAGCATTTTTGAAGAAATTTTTTATTTTTCTTATAAAAAACTGATATTTTTTATACTTAAATTCTCAAATTTTTTCAGTGGTGTTTTTTCGTTTTCTATTTATTTTTATTGAAAATAATTTTTTTTTCAAATTTAGCTTATTTCACATACCATTTTGAAAATTTGTGAAAATGTATACAGAATCCCAAAATTGAAAAAAATATATACTTATTAAAGGAATAACTAAAAGTGGTAAACATGAAAAAAATTCGATTTATTTTGAAAAAGTTCAGGAAAAATAGAAGATCGTTTTCAATAATTTTTTTCGAAAACTACATCCAAAAACAAAGAAAATGAAAAAAAAAGTTGTTATTTGGCCCATTTTTGGACGAACAGTGGGCTTCCAAAAAAGACATGCAAAGCATTTGAACTCACATAAATCATTTTGAAACCATCCTCTTTTGACTTTTTTTTAATTTTGAGATTCTATATACATTTTCAAAAATGTTCCAAATGGTGTTATGTGAAATAAACTAAATTTGAAAAGAATTTTTTTTTAATCAACAAAAAAATAGACAACGAAAAAACCACTGAAAAAATTTAAGGATTTATAAAAAATATGTTTTTTATAAGAAAAATAAAATTTTCAAAAATCGAGAAAATTTGAGAATGTCAGTTTTTTATAAGAAACAATTTTTTTTTTCAAAAATAGTTATCGAGAAATTTCCGTTTTTTTCGAAAATTGAAAAAAAAAAACAGTGAAGATAGGTCCAGATTATTTTTTCAAAAAGTACATTTAAAAACAAAAATTTTGAAAAAGAACGTCCCGATTACTCAAAAAGTTATGGTTATTTTAAAAAAAGCTACTTTTTCAAAAACGAAAGAACGACGGGACGGGGAATGTTGTACGGTAAAGGAAATCAAGACAATCTGCCTTCAACAGATTATATGACAATAACAGAGAATAGTAGGTTCGACGTAATACAATTTCTTTCATATTAAATCTACTGAAAAATCAAATTGTAGCGTATCTCTTATATTGAATTTCAATTGACGGACTGTAGTCACTGTAGAAATATGTTCCTATGAACACAGTGATCCTCGGTTATTATAAATATCACTAAAAGACATATTAAATAATAGTGGGCTAAGAACTGAGCCTTGAGGTATTCCCAATGAACACAGTGATAATCGTTTATTACAAATATCACTAAAAGACATATTAAATAATAATGGGCTAAGAACTGAACATTGAGGTATTCCCTATGAACACAGTGATCATCGTTTATTCGTACATCGCATGTATGTATGTCGGAAAGTGGTGGGATTGTTTTTCCACCGCGGCACTTAGGCCTTATTAGGCCCCTTATACACCCTCCTTCATTACTCGAGTACTTTTCTTCAAACCATCCTATTTACTACACGGATGGCTTGGTGGCAAAGTCTCGTACAGTTTATGTATGATAGCATGGTCTTGAGTTACAGAGATTTTCTTTGTTCTGTTCTCATTACCATTTATCGGGGATCACACGCATGCGGCAAATATTGAACGACCCAGATCTCTGGTAGGCTGCCACAGCCACGTCCCCGAGCCTACCTTAGGTCGCCCATCCAAATTCCAGCCTGCGTCCGTGATGCTTACCTCGGCAAATCGAAATCCACCGAACAAGACACCCGGCTAGGCGGTCCCCAAATGTAATAGGTAATTGGAGATTAGTTTACCTAACTGTTTATTTAGGTTAATAGTAGAATAGTAGGTGTGAGAGCCAAATTTTTTCAGTGAGGCCCGGTCTCAGTTGCTTCATACGACGAGCCGCCACTGGATATATTTTTTTAAGAAACGTATTCATCAAATGTAGCTTTTACAACTGTAGTTTTAAATGTCACTGTTCGCAATGGTTATCACAATTTTTTTTTAAAGGGTGATATTAACTATATCCTTTCATGAAGCTGTGTTTAGAATTTTTCCAGTTTTGCTTCTCTAGAAGGCTGTCGCTGGAAGACAAAAGGAAAGCGTTGATTTAATTCAGTCTGTCGCATGCATTATCATGAATTTCTACGCGTTTCGTCATAAAAGGTACAAATTTAAAAATCCCCTCAACACTTGTTTTAAAAGTTGATTTATGAAATAGGGAAAAACCGTCAAAAATAATCGTATTTAAACGGGAGTGAAGTGCAAGCTACTGCAGGTTTAGTTGAATAAAACTTTATGAATATTTTAATAATAAGAGAGTTTGCTGGTTTACATTCATTTCCAGCTATTAAAGAATAACAGGACTAAATGTGAGGATAAGAGAGAGATCCTTAAGTAATTCTAACAAACTTTAAAATTTCGCATGGCCAAGGTAAGTGCACTGATTTATTTTTAGGTAGTAAATCGTCAGTCTAGGATTAGATGGTAATATTTCTGTTCAAAATTGACGAAAATAAATATGTGTTGGTAAATGCACATGATTTATAGGAAAATCCGTCTTCTTCTTTGTCGCAGATGCTTTTTAATATAGGTATCTAAGTCTTGCATGCAAACTACGAGTAAAACGATGGTTGAATATTATTTTTATGCCATAGAAACTATAAAACATAAACCTGGCTTTTTTTAATTGTCATTTTAAAAAATATGCTTAGGTTAGCTCATTGTTTCACTGTGACTTTAGCTGGTTATATTTTTGCCATTCCGTTTTAAGGGACCTCGTCAAAATACCTAGTGTGTAGAGATTAATAATACACTACTGGAAAAAATTAGAGGAACAGAAAATTTCCATGAATTTTTTAGTGATTTTCATTGAAAAATGATTGTATCGGGATGACTGCAGTCGCATTAGAGTTTGAACGTGAAAAAATGTTGTTTATGTTGTAGGCAATCAAATTACCTACAATAGAAGGTATCTAAAGTCATATTTCACCAATTTGTTAACTGTAAAGTACAGATTGAACGCGGAAAAGTCAGTTTTTGAACATTATTGTTGCAAAAAGCGACGGATGTTGATGTTTACGAAAAATACGGTCAATGCAAAACCAATATATGTGCCAATGGTCAATTCTATTGATCGTGAAGTTGTTGCTGCGGATATTTGTTAATTAATTTCGTTCGTTTTTTTGCAACTAATTGTTTAATTACTAAACGTTAATTTTAGAAGTTAATATCGTAGATATAGGTTCTAATTGATCCAAAGAGACATCAAGTTAAGTAGCCCTTTATAACTAACAAAGTAAGATGTGAAAATAGCATTATAAACAAATTGTCCCAGGTTCAGGCAAAAGCCGCTCGGGAATTCACTCTTTTTGCATTAAATAAAGCTTATTTTTACGGTAATTTTAAAAAAAGAGAAATCACCTACGCCTCTTTGTTCCCATGATAACTCTTTTATATAGCTTTAATTGTTAATTGGACGTATCGGACTGGAATTTTAGAGACAATCAAAGAAAGGGTTTAACTTTTATTTTCAGAAAGTTTTATATTGATAGTTCACGTAACAAACGCGCTAGCAGCAGTAAAAGTTAACTTTAACAAATGGCCTGTACGCGGGAGAAGGAGCGCCAAGCCAGCGCACGCGCGTGATCTTCGCCCTCGTCGCGCGCAAGATTTTTGACTTGAATGTTTCAAAGATCTTGAAAGTAGAGACATAAGGCTTCAAAGTTCCTTTTCTTTATTATCTCGTTACGACTATTTTTCACTGAGATGCATAAATTCATAAAAATTTCTCCTGTACTGTATAATATTAATAATTCTTACATAAAATTAATGTTTTGTTGTTTCTTTCTTCTTTCCCTTGCGCGCTGCGAGATGAAAACGAAACCGAAAGCCAAACATTCCGAATAACGGCATGTGCTGATCCTGATCGTGTAAAGGAATAATAAATTAGGCTCCGAATTAGGCGATACCGCCGCCCCCTTCGCACATTTGACTTACGCTGTACACGCACGCCATTGTTTTTTGTACCGCTAAAGCGCGGCCCGCTATCACGAAATCAAAGCATTAGTACCTCAAAAATTGGTAGGGAGAGTAAACAGATGTTTTTACAAAAAGGGAGAATCGCCTAGTTTCGCATCACATTCATAGCTGTGTCCCGAGAGCTTTCCGCAGCTGAAAGTGCCTGGTCTTGTGACGGAAATGTTCACCATGTGTCGGGTTACCTTGATCCTGTCGGCCGTGAGCCTTATGGTTCTCCTGGACGTGAAAACGACGGAGGCTAGGAGTGAGTATAGTTTTTTCCCAAATTTTTTTATTGCGACGTTGGTTGGTAAAGTGTAGTAGTCGAAAATATATTTAAACACTGTATTTTTATTGAGCTAAAAAAATGTCATATCCCATTTAGGTGTATATTTTCCAAAATACAGAATGTAGTTTTTTGATACACAGTTGAAATTGTGCATATCATATACCGTCACATTTTCTGAAGAATTTTAATAAAAAAAACTTGAAGCAAGTAAAGTTTGGGTTATTGACCCTCCTTTTTGTACAGGTCTGTTGTTCAAATGCATTCTTCTTCAGATCAAACGAAGGTTTCTTTCATTTCTTTTCACTCTTGTAAAATTTTGTTTTAATGCTTGATTTATGAGACGTTGTAATTAAATACATTTTGAATACTTGATATTGACCCAATTTGTTTAATTTCTCAATTTATCTCACGCAAGCTTTACAAAAATAGGATTGGAATAATTTTCTGATAAAAGTCTGTCTAACAGCCAAATTAACTTTTTATTATTTATTATAACAGCATATGTCGTTCCAGTCCAAAACTGTAAACACGAATTACTAATTTTCCAAAATATTCGTTCCTTTCTGATTAAAAGAACCCAATGAACATAATTATCCGGAAAAGTTCCATTAGCGTTAAAATGCTCTATTAACAAAACGTTGTTGATGATTTTTTAAAACCTAATTTGTGTACCTATCTGTTTTATGTGTGTTAGTAATTATATGTGATTGTTTGCGTTGAAAATTAGAACTGTCGGTGATTTATTTAATTTGGTATAATTGCAGTTTGGTGTGGGATATAATGTCAACCACAGTCGAAAATGGCAACAAATTGCCTCATTAATACAAATAACAAATACAAAGGGCTAATTATATTTAAAATTGTCTACTATAAAAACATTCAGTTCATCGCAATTATTTCGCTCTAATAAAGAAAGTGATATACTTCCTACATCTCGTAACAGAATGGTTGTTCTAGCATTTGAATAAAGGAAACGAAACTTTTTAAGGTATATTATTTCAGAGACTCGTACGAATTTGAATGTTTGATGGAGTTGATATTCGACCAAACATTATCTGCTTCTGCAGAGTTGATCACATTAGAAAGTCTTAAAAGAAAATTTTTAACATTGACATTTGCGTGCGAAACAGTAGCGACCCCTAGTGCGATTTAAATTTAATTGATTAGAAAGAAACGAATTCTGCATCGTTAATTTAGCGTCAAGGCATTTTCTATCAGAAAAATATTTAATACATTTATTAATTTGATAGTCGCATTTAGAACGAGATATTTTTAAACTTCTTTACTGGCCCTTGTGGACGCCTAAACAAAACACGAGCCTCGTCGCTCGGTCCAGACCCCGCAGGCCCCGTTACCGCGCCGTTTCATGAATGCACCGAAATGACGAACTCAAATCATTACTTATAATCAGGAAAGAGCAAGCCATTAAAATATCTTGGCTTCTTATTCGTATCCCCTTTTCTCATTATTCTGTCGTTCAATTCACTATTCACACTTCGTTTAGGATTTCTTCTAGATGTAACAAGCAGAGACTGACCCCATTTCGGCAGTATTGTGCAGTTGTTTGAGAGGGCCTCTGGGCATTTTCGTCGATATTTCAGTCGAACTACATTGCGTAGATTTGAGTTTGGGGACCATTGAAGACGGTAAGAAATAAGCAACTGGCTCAAGTTCTTCGTATTTATATTCTTAATTTTTTTTCTTTTTCCAGATAAAAAGCAGTTTGGGTCCTAAATTTTTTAAATGAAAATGTCGAAAGCGGCCAAAGATATCAGTTAAGTCCAAATTATTAACTTTTAAAAGAAGTGTATTGTTGTATTGAGTAAAAAAAGATGTGACGCCTCGTGTAAGATAGTAGTAAATTATACAGGGTGACAAAATCAAAATTTTATCTTTTTTTAAAAAAAAACCTTCGAAATAATTGGTGTACTTAAACGAAATTTGGTATCCCGAGGTTTTTTGACACGAAATATTCAAATTTTCTCATAACTTTGGCATACATTCTAGAGGACGCCACTGTATATTATTTTCTGGTAACATCTCTTTTTCTATTGCTTTTACATAAAAAAGGTATACTTTCTTGATGCTGCTAGGAATTACCATATTACCTCGAGATATTTGCATTTAAAAAATTCAATATATGACAAGAAAGTTAGAGAAGTACCTAATTTAATTATTATTTTATCAAAAGCAAAGTTGTAAACATAAACATAACTGACCAGTACATTATAATCGTGGATTATTTTATTTTCTTTATCCCGTTTTGATATTGATTTTAGAAATTCGTCATCAATTCTGAATGAAATTGGTCCCTTCAATTTTTTTCGTAGAAAGCACCGTTTTTGAGGAAAAAATAAAACAGATTATATTGCAAGTTGTGTATTTTTAATTTCTTTTGATACTACACTAAATATTTTTGGTAGTGAAGTAGGGAAAATCATATAAATATTTGAATCTTTTAACACCCTGTATCTCCGTGGGGCAGCGTCCTATCAAAAACTTTTATAGGGCAAAATTTGATTATTTTCAACGGTAGAATACGCCATTAAAGTTTGGCAAAACTTATCATTAACACCCTGTATATTTTTTTACAATTTGTCGTTGCAAGATGAAGACACTTTCTTTGAAACTGCGATAAAACTTTCCCACTTGAAATAGCCACTTTTTGAAACCGAATCCAGTGGGCATGCATGGTACGGCGCCCCCACCCCACCGCGCTGCCGCTTCCCGCGCGATAGGCATGGTAAAACAAAAGAAAACACTAGTGGGTGGACTTCTAGCAAGTTGTAACACGCAGGGGCGCATCTTGAATGAAAACCGAGCGCGAAAAGCGCCTCATTCATTCCTAAATTCACCACCAAAGTCGCCATATCGGTAAGGGGTTGATTGAACACCGAGAAATTTTTAAAAATACCCTGCTCCCAGGCCATCAGTGTCGTCGTGTCCGAGGTATGACATCGAAGGCCGGTTTAAAAATGAGTTGTTCGTCAGCCGTTCTCGTCCTCCTGTCGACGATCGCTTTGATGTTGGTGCTCAATGCGGCGGGAGCGGAAGGAAAACGTAAGTTTTGAAAACTGCCTGCCTTTGAGCTAAGTTTTGCTTGTTCGACGCCAGTGAGCCGTAAACTGTTTTAAGTCGGTGCGGGGTTCCGCGCGGCGCTTTTTTGTCGTTTTTCAGTCGTCTTAGAAGATGGCACATAACCCGATTTATCTCTGAAATGTATTAAATTACAAATAAAATACATGCAAATTTTTTTACGAAATTAAATTTTTTCTTTTTTTATCTCTACATATTTGGGCACTTTGCCACATGTGAAAAAATTTAAAAATCAATGAAAGAAACTCTTGCGGCAAAAAAGCCAAGGGTTATTTTATGAAACTAGTTTTGGCTTATCAAATATTTCACACTGAGAAAAGTAGACAAAGCTAACAGGGGTCTATGTTCATATATACCAGGAAAATAAGCTGGGAAATTGCCATTCCGCGACTTTTTGTTTCGGCAAGCTGATTTTATCACTATAGATGCTAAATATTAGGTATAATAACATATTAGTTTCCACAGTCATAAAAATGGGGTGAAGATTGTTTACAGGGTGGTTAATTGTATAATTTTTATGTAAATTCACGTTTTTCGCTTATAACATTTTTCCGTTCATTTCCACGAGAAAACAGTAAAGTACTTTATTTTTCGTCTTCAAACGACCTACAAAACTAGCCCTCGAGCGTCAAAAAATATTGATTACATCAATCGTCCAGACTAATAATTAATTAATTTGTTTATAAGGCCATAACTTGTAAACTATTCAACTTACCGGTTCCAGACTTCGTGTGAGTTATTAGACAGTGATAAAGAATGAAAGGATGCGATGCTAAAACGTTCTGATAATAATAACGCAGTTTATAAATGTTTAATTCAAAAGTCATAAATAAACTTCTTCTGTTAATAACTTTTGATCTAATCAATATTTTTTGACGCTCGATGACTAGTTTTGTAGGTCTTTTGAAGACTAAAAAAAAGTACTGTACTGTTTTCTCGTGAAAATGAACGGAAAAAGTTATAAGCGAAAAACGTGAATTTACGTAAAAATTATACATTTAACCACCCTGTAAACAATCTTCCCCCCATTACGAACATTAAAAGTATCATTTTATATCTCCAACAATAGAAGCGGGCAGATAAACAAACTGAATCTGCCAAAAATAATTAAACTAAACTTCATTTTCATGTATAAAAAGGAAGACAGATTTATTGAAGTGCTTGATACAGTGCAGCGTATTTTTTTATTTGTCCGTGTTTTTCTGTTGGAAATTTTTTTGTTGAGCAAAACTAGCTTCATAAAAATAACCTTTCGGTAATCCTTTTGGTTCAAGGGTTTGTTGGATTTGTAAATTTTTACACAGGTAGCAAAAAACCCAAATAAATAGAGAAAATTAAAACTATGGCACAAATAAGTAATTGATTTTTTTATGCCTACAAAAAGTGCAGCATTTTTTAAAATATTTTGTTACTATAAACGAAGTTGAAATCGATTTTGCTCCGATAGATTTTTTTTAATGATCTCGTATATTATTACTTTATTTAATTTCTTATTTAATTTATATCCTAGGTACTTTATTAGACAAATATTGGATGTAAGGCTCATTGTTTTGGGTTTGTTTGAAATGGGGGATCAGTATAATTTAAACTTTTTTTTAATAAATAAGTCTAATAATAATTAGTCAGAAACAGTTCTTAGAAATTTTTTATTTTTTTTATAAAGTGAGCAGGGATTAACGTACGTATATTTAAGTATCCCCAACCTTTTTTTTCTGCGACACTGACAAAACCGGAAAACTGAAAGAAAATGTTTATTTTCGTCAAAAATAAACGATTTTTGACAATGTTTACATAAATACATGTGCCCAATTTCAAATTATTTCACTTACTAGTTTTTAAATTATTTAAAAAAATTAAAAATTTTATAGGAAAGACCTCTT